GGCGGGCACCTCCAGAAGGAATTGTAGGGAGTTGCTGGGCATGGGAGAGAAGCACTGGAGCTCTGGTGTTCACCACACAAAAACATTTTCCAGCTGACACAAGAAGGCTGTTAAAAGTTAGTAATACAGATTGTTTTATCACATCCTGTTAATTATAAATTAATGAAGAACAGCTCTGCAAAGAGGAGCTGATGTAATTCTTCAGTTGCTTGTGACATGGCGATCAGATTTTCAGCTCTTTCTGTATGATGTTGGAATTAAAGCTGGAAATGCTATTCAAAGTTGCAGACTGGTATATTTTAAGTGATCAGGCTTATAACTGCAAGAGAATAGATCTACCTTAAAATTAAATATTTTTTCCAAAAGATAAACTCTTTCTACTTTGTTAGCATTATAGCTATTAATGAAATGACTTTAAATGTGTCTCTCTACATCTACCACACTGTACTTAATTTTTTTTTTTAATTGCTCCTTGGCACAGGAATAAATCTGTCCCTGATGACTTAAGACTGCTGAGTCTTTGTAAAGCATAAAAAATCCAAATGTGGCTAGATGTGTATTAGCTCACCATTGTGTGTTTACTGTGGAGATTGTTGGATTTTACCAGGTTTGGCTTTATTAATCAGCTGCATAGAGTGAATGAGGAATATGTGTTTTAAAACTGGATTTTTTATTTTCTAATGTAGTTATAAACCTTGAAACTCTCCCACTCAGTACCAATTTAACTTCAGCAACAGCCTGTGAGTTTGTGATTTTTTCCCCCCTTCACTTATTGAGCTGTATTCAGAAGTTGTAACATCCTAAGGATATTTAGAAAGTCAGGTTTTTGTTTCCCCTCTGCTGAAGCTGGATTTGTATAACTTCTTGACAATTCAGTTGTAGTAACATGGAGGTTTTCTGTGTCTGCTAACGACCAATGACTCTTCATGGAAAAGAGTCTGTTAAATGTGGAAGCAAGTTTAAGACTTGGTTTTGTTGTGTGTCAGGTTAAAACAAACTCAGTCAAGTTCTTTGCAGCTGATGCTCCCTTAATTCTGCTCCTCCTGCAGAGCGTAGGCTGCTAACTGAGGCTTGCCAACACTCAAGCCTCTGCTGGTTATCAGCATGGAGTGCTAGGAGCTGTGATTTGTGGTGTGTCATCTTAGGCTGAGGGGAGTCTTGGTTGAAGGGGAGTGGGGTAAAACAATCACTAACAAAACATGAAAGTCTGCTTTCTTTATGCTCCACGTTCAGGAACAGTTTGTGCAGTGGTTGACAGTTGCTGCTCTTCCCCAGTGTCTACACCTTAACGTAGGGATAGAGAGGGTTTCATGTCAAGAAGTTCAGTTTGAAGCTTATCTGTACCAGTGATTGGAGTAACCTATAATTATCTTAATTTTAAATTCAATTTAATCACATTTTTTGGACTAACAGTAGTGCAGCTACACAAATTGGTGAGTGAATTGCTAAATGAAATGTGTTTATACTCCATGGAAATGGACCACTTACACTTCACATAGGCTGTTACTTTAGATTAAGTTAATTCTTCTAGTAAACTAAAGTAGTTAATCCCTCGAATATTACAATTAAACAACAACAAAACAAACCCCTTCGCATTGTTTGCAGTGTTTGAGTATGTGTTCCTTAAAAAAAAAAACCACCAAGTTTTGAAACATTGTAACACACAATACCAATAGCGGTTATACTACATTGAATGTTTGGGGCAGCAGTCTGCTGCCATAAAGGTATGGAAGGAAACAATTTTGTGTTTCCAAAGCCTGTGGATACAAGTCTCAAGCTTGCTGAAGGCAGTGACTTGAGAAGATATCAGTGTTGCTCTCAGCACCTTTGTGTCTGGATAGCAAAGCTGCTCTTCCCTGGCTCCCAGGAGCGTGTTTGTGTGATTCAAGTTCAGGGGTCTGAGCAGTGCAATTTCCCTGCCAGCCTCCTGCCTTTGCTAGCCATAAAAATGAAAGTGCTCATTATGAGGAAGTTAAAGCCTGCAGGTAGTAAAGTGGCTTTTAAAAGAATGAATTAGAAGTTGGATAAAATACATACACATCTGCTGAAGACTTCAAACTTTTTGTTGTTGCTGCTTTTTATTTTTAAGAGGCAAGGAGGGGTTTATAGCAGGGTTTAGGAATCTCTTAGCAACAAGGAACCATCTTTCAAAAGTTGAAGTTTTTGCTGAAGAAAATAGAAGAGGAAAAAAACCTCTCTCACAAATTAAATTTTAAAGTATAATAAGTCTGGCCAAAAGATATTCTGAGAAACAATTTGCTAAAGATACCAGAGCCAGCAATAAATCCTTTAAATTGAATCATTTCAAGTATATCAGGAATGAACATCCTGCCAGACAGACTGGAGAGCTGATAGATGACTGAAGTATGGATGAAATACATGGTGAACATAGGGCTACAACAGTAAAAAAGCTAAATGTTTTTTATCCAAGTTGACTTTCCTGAGAGATTTTAGGGCAGAAACTTCAATTTGGAGGTCATATTTTGAGAACTGGTCTCAGATTGAAATATTGGTAAAAAAGATTTTTAGAACATAGAAAAAAAAGCATCAAATTGCCAGGAGTAGATTCCATTTACCCGAGAGAGCTTACAGTAACCACCAGTGACAACATTGATCTGGCAACCATGATCTGCTGCTTAAAATGGCTGCGAGATCAGAGCAGGAAGATAGACAAACACAATTTCAATGTATTAAAAGCATTCCAGGAATAGCCAGGGTACCACAGACCTGCAGGTCTGTACAGGCAGGCTGGTGTGTTTCATTAGGAACAAAGACCACAAAATTGCTAAATACGTGGGCAAATGCGTGGGCAAAATCTCATCTCAGGATTTGAGGGAAGTGCTCGTGCATTTCAGATAGATGGCCTTTAACCTTAGGGTGGGACATGCAGTTATTTAGGTCTCATTTTTCTCCTCTTCAGCTTGCAGAGTTGAATTTGCTGTTGGTGTGAATTGCAAAAAAACCCCAATCATTTGCTCTGTAATCGTATAACTTTTTGAAAAAGGTACTTACTTAACAGCCAGGAACAGAATACTATACCACAGTGTAACTTTGTGATAAATTAGATGGACCTCAAGAAATAAATTCCAGTCTGTTTTTACTGGAAACAGTGGACTGAAATTAACTGTATTGCCTCAAGAGCACTAAATGACACATATGTAATAAAAATCTTTGACTGCTGATGTACATTAATTTAGATGTGAATGTTTGTTTACTTTTGGTCAGGTTCTGACCACAAGATGTAGGTGAAGCTTACTTTGTGGTATGTGTGGCGTTGTCAGTAGGTAGGCTCTTATGAAATCTGCCAAGTCTGAATTTTCTCCTGTCTTTGTATGTGATTGGCACACATCACACTGAATGTTTGTGACTCTTTCTGACATTACTGATTACATACACTTCTTGGTAAGAAGATACAAAATAAATAAGATGAAGTGTCATATTGGCATCATACCAGGCTTTAGGAGAAGAATATTGTTTAGACTAAAAGCAGCTTCAAGCTTTTTCACAGCTAGAGCCTCTTTAAGGTACTTAATGATGGTGAAATAGCTTTAAAGTGAAACAGATTTGCTAGACCAGCTGAAAGGCCCTCTCCAGCATCTGTCAGCTTTATACTAGTTTTGTACCAAAGAATTACAAAATGAACAAAAAACCTCACCAGAAAGGCGAGGTTACTTCCATGGAAATATTTTCTTTCACCAAATCTTTCCCTTAGGCTTTGGGAATATACACTTTAGATAAAATTATGCTATTCTCTTTCAAGCATAAAACATGAAGTTTGCACCATTGCTATTTTGCACATTGTGTCATATGGAAGAAAGCATATGTTTGTAGGTGGGTACTCATAAGCTTGTGTGATTTAGAAAAGTATTCAAAAATCCTCTCATCTTCCCCATAACTTAGTGTTGCATGTCTGCCATGCATCATGCCAATTCAACCCTGGCTCATCTAACTGTCATATAAGGAGGAGAGCTTAAATCAGCTTTTACAAAATACATTTCAGTGCAGTACATTCAATACATTTCACTGCAATAAACTCTTTATTGCCATGAATACAGCAAGGTGCTTGTAGTGGGCTGATGGATACGAGGGGTTTGTTGTTGCCTTTACTCCACTTTCAGCATGAAACATTAAAGGATTTCTATTATAAAGGAGTGTTAGTTTATTTACATGTCATGCTAACACTGAGATGTAGAGACTCTAGTACCACACTGATGTCAAGAAGTGTGAGTTGTGCAGTGCATTTGCTAACTTTTTGGCTCATTTTTCTTTTGTGACAGCAACAGTAAAATACAGAAGACAGTCTTTGAGTTGCACATTAGCTTTAAGCACTTACTGAGAATGGGAGAGAAAGCCTTGTCATTACTTTAGAAATCATTTATGGAACTTGTTAAGCACAATTTCCTATTAAGCTTGTTTGCTTTATAGTAGTCTCCGTGGATGAATATTTTTGTAATCAAATAAATTTGTATTTTGATTGCAAACCCAATAAAATATATCTGCTACCTTTCCACTGTTCCTCCTTCCTTCACTTTTCCTCCTGTTCTATTCCCCACATGTTAAGATGTTATTCCTTCATATTTTTTGAGGAATTGGTCATATATTTTTACTTAATGATTGTTATATTGGCAGTTCTTGCACTTGGTATTCTGAAACCTTGTTTGTGCCTGGTAACAGTTTCTCACAGCATATTTTAGTCTACACTCACACTGTTGCCAGATCTTGGGATGTAGTTGGCACTGAGGTTCTCTTTTTATGCTGTGTTGTATCTCACTGCTAAGAATTAGTCTGTAATACGTGTTGTTGACTTGGGCAATGTAAAAAAAAAAACAACCTCTGGTTGTGAGATGCATAGAAAAGTGTATTACCTGTTGTTCGCATGAATTGCAAGAATTTAATGAATAGACTGTTATTTTTATATCTGGCACTTAGATTTTTTTCCCCCGGGCTAATAAAATAGTTAAGTGATCTCTTCTTACATGTTCATTCTGTCTTGCCTGCAGCTTGCCGGTGTTTTAGAGCTGCACGTGCCTTGCATAACTCGAGATCTCTGCAGTATCAGTGCCTGCTTGTGGATTGTGTGCCTCTGTTGGACACGCTGTAAGTCTGTGGCACAGCCAATGAAGTCTAGATAATTACTCACTTCATGCCAGAGAGAGCTTAGTTAGACAGTGAATTCAAGTGGTATGTAATTATCTGAAGTTAGGCAGAAAGAATTACACTCTAGGACCTAATGGTTTCACAAACACAAATGCTGAACATGAAGATGTTAAATTTCAGTACTTAATATAGATGATAAATGAAAACTGTTACTTTAGGACTTAGGAATTTTTCTTTCAAACTGGGAACTTTTAGACATTGAGCAACTTTGTTCCTGATTCACATCTCGGAGAGAGAAGAACTTAAGTCATCCCAAGTGACTCACAAATTATTTAACCGTGAAGTATGAACTACTCTTGCAAGTTCAGATGGTGCTATTTATCCTTAACTATTATGTGATGTAAGTATTTCTAGGCACAATCAAAACAACTTCCACATTTCAGTAATTATTCCAGCAAATGTGATATGTGTACATATTTAGCATAAGTAAAACAATTTGCATGTATTACAGCTGAATGTGAAAATTAGGGACTTTCTAAACCCCTTTTGCATTCTTTTGGTGTGAAATTTCTTGCTGTGTATCAAATCTGAGCGGTGTGCACAGCTAAACCTCACTATTACTCATATGTAAGTCTGGTTTGGGACATAAGTAGTATGTGGGCTTGGAACCCTCTCTGCATCTGAGTTTTAGCCTTAGTGACTAAAATTTGTATCCAGCTTGAAGCATCATTCCTAAATTTAAATGGTAAATCCTTACGAGCAGAGGAATTGTGGTTTGTTTCTGGGATAGATCTTTCACGCTTTTAAAGAGTACATAGATCTTGGATAGGTTTACTTCACAAGAGAGAATTTTACTCTGGAGAAGTAGCAAACAGAGGAAACTAGTCAGTGAAGAGTTGTGTTTAATTAGCCAGGCATATGTGCACTTGCAAGATTCACTTGAATGATTTCTATTTGCAGTGCTCAGCTGAGTTCTACTGATGCAGTGAAACTTACTGTTATCACTTTTAACATCTATCAGTATTTTCACAGGTTCCTATCAAAATATTGCTGAAAACTGAGCATGAGAAACAAATTTGAAATCAATAACTAACACCCATTCTAGTTAGTGTGGCTGGGGGAGGAGGAATTTTTAAGCTATATAATTTTTTAAGGCATCTCTAATTTTTTAAGGCAGCTCTATCACCATTCCCTTCTTTACTGAAATATCTTCCATTTTGAGGTAAGTCTAAAAAAGCCTTTAATCCTTCTGGGAATTTTTAAAGACTTCTTCATATTCTGCTGTTTAAAAATACTTCTGTCTTGTGTTGTCCAGTATTTAGAATAAGTAGGATATTAAGAAATAAAATTATTTGCATTGCTGAACTTCATGTGAAAAGAACTAATGGTCTTGGGAAGGTGGCCTACATACCTTGGAGGTCTTGGCATTGCTCAGTGTGATGTGATTGACTGATCACCTCCAGAAACTTTCTGTGCATGTTTCTAGGATGTGAGAAGACCAGGTTTTGCTGTGGCAGGCAATAAGCAACGTAGGATATCATCCCCCAATGGATTTGCCCAATGTTGAGTAGCTGAAAATAAAATTGTGGGAAGAATGATGAGTGCTGTTCTTGCTTTCCAGCAGCAGTGGAACTGTTCATACAGCAGTACAGTGAGATTACATGCAGTCTAAATTGTGCTATGCTTCTGATTTAAAAATGTGCTGCTTCTGTTTAGCCTTTATTGAGTCATTGGTTCCAAGAGAGAAAAAAGGGATGGTATTTTAAGCCATTTGTACAAATTCATATCTTCCAGTCAACCATGGGGTTTGGATATACTTTCCTTGGGAAGCTGTAAATTACTGAAAGTCCTCTACTTTTCTATTTTCCAAATTTTAACACTGCATGCTTGTATCATGGTTTTGGAGACTATATCAAGCTTCCAGAAACATAGCTCTAAACTTTAGACATCCTTCTTTGAAAAGGCAATATTTAAATATTTTGTCAATATTGTTTGCTTGAAGGATATTTTTCTACCATTTGTTTTATTACTGTATGGACATATCACAGTTTTATTTCTGCAGAATGTTTTTCTTTCCATGCATTGGGGCACAAGCGTGTAGTTTTAGCAGACTCAGTTTATTTAGCAAAATACACAAGCTGGTACTTCATTGCTTTTTTGTGAAGGGAATAGCCCTGTGATAGTTACTTCTGACCATAGGCACTGGTCGTGAAAATACTTTCTTATTAGTGTCACTCTTTTGAATACCTGTGCAGTTTTGAGAGGATTGATTGCTCCATCCAATGAAAAGGTGACTTGCTGCTACTAAAAATCAAAGGAGCTATTTTTTACTGGTGGTGTTGGAGAAAAAATGCCAATAATATATATTAGAAGTGGTTTGGTGTGTGTGGCTTTACCCAGCAAGAAGGAATCAATTTGAAATTTTTAAATGGGGACTGGCTTGGATTAACTGGTGAGGAAAAAAATATGTGTTGTTTTGAGTTCTTAAATGTATTAGAGGAAAAAATGAGCTGTTCATGTAAACTGGTGAGTTGTGGTAGGATGAAATTTCCAGGGCTCTAACAGGGTGAGGTTTGTCAATGGTATAAATAGCATCCCCCTTTTATATGCCCTGTGCCTTTCCTGAAATCCCAAGGGTGGCATGAGGGGATTTCATTCACAGGAGAGACTCTAAAGGACTGAATTCTGCCTTCAGTTCTGGGGCCTCAGGGCTGCAAGCATTGGTGAGATGACTTACCAATACATAGTAATTTCTCAACAATAGGTCTTACTCTGGAATGGATGGAGCCAAGTCTCTATTGCAACTTTGCTGGGCAAGCGTGATTCCAAGTGAAAGCAACAGCTTTTGTGAAGTGCCCCCAGACCTACCTGTCTGACACCAGCCAACATAAAAACATCTTGGCAGAGCTGGTGCAGACATGCAGGTTTCTGAGCTCATCCCGCCTTGTCTCTGCCGCTGATTGTGTCCTGCAGGCTGAGCCTGGCTTCGCTGGCAGCTCCCCGTCCCCCCTCGGCCTCCCTCTCCCCCAGATAACTTTATCCTCATAGCACAGATACTCAGTCTGGATTTCATTTCTTCCCCTCCAGCTCCGTGTGATCCCGCGCGCATTCCTGACGCGTTACCAGCAGCCCACATCTCCGAAAGTGCCGTATCAGCTTTCAGTGGCCAAAGCTCAGAGGGGAAACAGCCCAGTTCCTCCGTGCACAAACAGCTGGGCAGTTGTGGATGGAATTAATTGCTGATATGCACTGGGCTGTGTTTTTCTTCTCTTGTCATTTCCTTTGCAGCTGTGAAAGGCAAGGTTTTAAGGCTTTGAAAACAGCACAGACCTTCTCAGTGGGAGTAATGTAAGAGTACTGAAATATATGTGTAGATTAGGATTTGCATATGAAGTAAAACCTCTCCTAAGATGTAAGAACCAGCACTGTTGACGTTGATATTCAAATTCCAGGTGCACCTTGCCAAATTAATTTCTGACTTTGGATTTCCAGCTTGAGAAAAAAATCTGGTTGTGGAGATTTGGATTTCTGAAAGCAGTAATCATTGTTTTCTGAACATAGGAGTCTGAAGTTGAGCGTTGAAAGCAATCTGTTTAGAAAATGGTTGTCTTTCATGTATACTCTTGGAGCTAATTTATAAAATGGACTGATGTTACTTTAGCCAAATGTGAAACAGTGAAGTTGCTGAAAGTCATGTTCCAGCCCAGCAGCTATGGGAAATTTATCACGGGGTTGGAAAATACATATGTTATCAACAGGGCTGCATGTCTGCCTCGAGGCTTCACCCAGCCCATAACAATCCAAAAACAAACCACCCATCACAAATGAAAAAATGCTGTCAAAAGTAGATTCGAAGCCCTAATGCTGTCAGAAGCTGCAGCATGCTGGGCTTAGTTGTAAAATCAGTGGAAAAATGTGTGGTACCTGTTGTTGAAGATAGTATTTTGTGAGCTTCCAGTATGAAAGGATAACAGATACTTTTCCCCTTGTTTATTAAAATGTTTTAAATGCACTTTTGTTTTATGGGATTGTTTCACCTCCCCTACTAGTAGGCTTATGCTGCCATGCAGTTTACTCAGGGGAAGATCTCTAAGCTCTTTTGCCAAAATAATTACAACTCTTGTAAGTGTTTTACTAGTACACGGTATTTGCATACCATATATTTATAAATAGTCTCATACCTGGAATGAATGGTTTAAACAAATGCTTGAAAAAGGTTTTGTTGTTTTAAGACCTAGTCTTAATGACTAAATAAATGAAGTTGTACAAATATGCTGAAAATGTCCCCACCGGCTTGGGTTGTGTAACTTCTTGTACTGTAAGATGAGTATTTCAAAGGTCCCACTGAAACCAGGGCCATTATTTATGGTAAATACTGTACAGAGTGAGGAAGGGTTGACAGACCAAGATCTTTAATAAATAAATAAATAGAAATTACACAACTCTTGAAAGGAGCCAAACTTTCAGTCTCAGCACCCACATCAGCCAAACTCTTGCAGAGACTGCTGCAGAGAGCCGTGGGATTGTACTTCCAGCAAATGCAAAGGAGTGCATCCTTACATGCGAGTTTTTCAGCCTTCCATGCAAGGGATTTCCGCTGTGACCTTGTCTGTCGTGGCTAAGAGCACGCAAGGGGACACCAACCCAAGTCTGGCTCACATGGTGTGCCGGAAGTTCAGCTGTAGTAATTTGATTGTAAATCTGAGCCAGGGAGTCAGTAACTCAAATCATGGCTGTTACTTCAAAGAACGAAGGTTGCCTCCTTGAAGGGCTTTTAGTTTTTATAGCTATACAAAAGTTAACTATTTGAGTTGTATGTTGTACATATCCATATATATGTTCATATCTTATTATAAATATACATGTATCATAGGCACCCTGTTCCATATCTGTCATACTAAGTACTTTTTTGGCAGGTAGCAGAAGTTATGGAAACAATTAAAATTCCTGTGCAACACTGGATTACTTATTTGTTTGGAAGAGTGGGTGGTGTTGTAGGG